TCATCTCTCGAATTATCTTTGAAAAACACCACCAAAAAAAACGGTAACATAGCTCATGATAGCTAGACGCCTGCATGGAACATTATGAGGCTAGGGACCAGATATGCTGTACGCTGTACTGGACATATAGCATGATGGTCAAACCCGAGGTTGTTTGTACGAGGTAGTCTGCCTGGTAACTTTTAATGACGTCATCTGGGGTGCCCAAACATATTGTAAATGTCCATAAGGCACCCCAGATTACGTCAACTGTGTCCCATCACCAGACAACCTATTAACAAACCATTCAACGTCAGCTTCCCAAGCAGAGTGGGATTAGGGCAAACCAAAGACCAAAAGCAGGACCGGAACTGGACTTACCCGGACGGGTCGAAGACTGCGGCTGATACCGGAGTAGGGCTATACTCCACCAGCTACAGCAATTACTATGCACTGGGAAAGTATGCCTGTGTTTTTCAGTAAGAGATATATGCTTTACAAGAATAACAGGAGAACCTTAGTCAACAGGCAAATCCTTATATTGTCTGACAGTCAAGCGACACTGAGCCAGACATTGTGATCAGGACTATGGGAATGCCAGGAAGAACTCAGGGCCCTGGCGGAGCAAAATAAGGTAAAACTTATCTGGGAATCAAGACACAGAGGAGTCGAAGGCAACGCAAAGCTTACGAACTCGCAAAGAGAGGATCAGAAACAAAACTTATCGGACCAGGGCCGGTTTTAGGAATACCAAAACGTATTACCAGAAGCTACAGCAAAGACGGTTCGTAAAGAACATCGATACTACTGAACAACTTCTAGCCAGAATCATGGTAATGAGTTCATCGACCACCTATGCAAAAAACGGGCCGCAGAACTGCTACAAATGAGTAGGAGCCGACTAAGGACTATAACGGGCTTTATGACAGGCCACACACCGCTAAAGGCCCACCTGAACAAGATGAACCTTGTATGACGGAGACCTTAACTGCAGATTCTGCAATAAGGAATCCGAGACAGCCAAACACATCCTGGTAAACTGCAAGGGAGTGAATCACAGAAGACACAGCATTTTTGGGCAACCAAACGTAATACCGGAAACAATAATAAAACACCACCAGTAAAAGACTCATACAACCTTGTACAGAGCACCAAAATAGTGGGGGTTAGAGTAAAGCAAACAGGTTTAGCACAATACCTTGCTACATGAGGACAATAAGTCGGACAGGCCTGAGAGTAAGAGAAAAAAAAGTTCATAGGTTTGTGACATCTCTCCAATCTTTGAGTTTTGTTTTCTCCACAAATCATCTGTCTTCAGTGACCTTCGCTTTCATCTCCCTGGGGAATTTTTCATCCATTCCAGCTGTCCACCACTAAAAAAAAAAAAGCAACGGCAGAACGCCTTGGTGGAACTCAAACTTTGGAAACCACCGTGAAAAGGTTCGCCAGCTCCTAAATAGAGCGAATAGGACTTAATTTTTGGTCCAGTGGGAAGATTACAGATCTGCACAAAGGAACTACAACTACATCTTCAACTCACAAAGGGATGGACAGCCTACTGCGGGGGCATAGAAGGCATGTCCCCGGAATCCAGGCTCTACAAAGTACTGTAATGTTGCTGGTTAAGTGTCTGTTCTGCTATGCTTTTTGAGACTCGCCAATCCCTTTCTTAAAACTAAAGGAAAAGTAAGAACGTCATCAGACAGAAGAAACTGTATAGGAAAGACCCATACAGTAAAAAGATTGAAACGCCAATTTAAATTTAAAACCTTTCATCCCTTGCATACAACGGGGATCAGCCGCCATATACAAGGTATCCGTAAAAAGGCTCAATCAAGAAGGGATAGAAAAGAAATCAGTGTGCGGACGAACACACCTAGAAATGCAGTTGTCCCAATTAACCGCTATTCTCAAAGAACCACCCGACTCCTGCTTCTAAGCCTGTGTCAATAAGCCTGTCCAATTGATTTCCCCCAACGGACAAGAATAAATCACTTAAACAGAAGTTGAGCAGCTCATATAAGAGAAAACTTAAGATACTAAAAGGAGGTTATACTGCTTCCGCAAAAGAGGCATTAGACATTCTCCTGGCGATGCACTTCCCTGTATCTCGCATGGTACCTCAACAGATCAGGGACGCCGAACGCGTAGGAGGGCCTAAACCTGACTACAAGCTGACGTCCAAGGTTGTTACATACGAAAGGGTGAAGTGGGCTATAGACACCTTGTCACCATTTAAATCGTCAGGTGAGAATGGACATTTTTCCGGCATTCCTACAAATGGCCCCAGAAAACCTACATCTCTTGATCCTGGCTATATTCAGACACTGCCTAGCTAGATACATACGAATAGCCTGGATGACGGTCAGAGTAGTATTTATACCCAAACCAGGAGAGTCGGACTACCTACAGCCGTCATCATTTTGCCCAATCAGCCTCAACAGCTTCATGTTGAAAGCGATGGAGCGAGTAGTAGACGGGCACATCAGAGAAGAGGCATTGGGGTAATACCCCCTGTACCAGCATCAATATGCCTACCAGGTTGGTGAGTCCACAGAAGCAGCGCTGCACCAGAGTGGACAGAGTGGAGAGAGCGCTGGACCGAGGACAGACCAGAGCCATGCTGTCAAGACGCACAGTCAGACCAACAATACAATCAACAACAATTCCGCAGAGGTCGAGGTAGCCAGGGGCTGTGCACAAGGTGGGGTGCTGTCACCACTGCTTTGGTGTCTGGTGGTGGACGCCGGACAGACTTCTGCGGGAGCTGAACACAGCGGGTTACTACACTCAAGCCTATGCTGACGACCAGGTCATTCTTATCAAGGACCGGGTCGCGAAACGACTGAGTAGACCATTGACATATACCCTAAGGCTGGTTGAACGCTGGTGCCAATCGGAGGGCTTGAATGTTAACTCAGACAAGGCCGAAATGGTTGTTGTCTCTAGGAAAAGGAGAGTTGGACAAATGCCTGAGGTTAACCTTTTTAATCATAGGCTCAAATGCTCCGAGTCAACGAAATATCTTGCGATGATTATAGACTCGAAGTTGACATGCAACCAGCCGCAAGTTCTCTTTCCCAAGCAGAGAAGAGCGGAGGAACACAAGCAGCACTCCGGAGCCATCCAACGGTGTCATCTGGTACACAGATGGCTCTAAGATGGGCAGTGGTATAGGGGCCAGTGTGTACGGAGCGGCCGCCAGGTTGTCCTACTCCCTGGGCTCGTATGCATCCGTTTTTCAGGCAGAGATCTATGTCATTTCAAGATGTGGTTATGAGAATCTCCAACACGACTTCACAAACAGGGATATTTATGTGTACTCGGACAGCAGGGCGGCACTGCTGGCCCTGTCTTCCATTAGAGTGGACTCAGCCCTGGTGGCGGAGTGCAGAACTGTACTGAACGCCGTGGCCAGACAAAACGAGGTGAACATCATCTGGGTACCGGAACACTCTGCTGTCCCGCAAAACGAGAAGGCCGACCATTTGGCCAGGCAGAATCCAGCAGATTTAGTAATAGGTCCAAAGCCGGTGATAGGTTTACCATACTCGACAGCGGTGATGCTCCTGAAGGCTGCACAGGAATGATGCAGGTCAAACTCTTGATGGGGGCCTGGCAACCGAATAATGCCAAGGCTGCTCTAGAGTTGGAGAAGAAGGACATCAGGCTACTGACAGGGCTCCTCACGGAACACTGTCACTTCAGCAGACATCTGAGCCTGATGGGGATCTTAGAAGACGTGCAGATTTTGTCTTGGAGGATGAGGAAACCTGTATCCATGTCCTTGCCAAATGTCTAGCAATTACTTGGATTAAAACCGTGTAACTTGGCAGATATACGCTTGATTCAGGGAACATAGGAAATATCAAGCCCCGTAAGCTTTGTGCATTCGCAGGAGCCTCGGGGCTGAATTACCTTTCAGTGGGCGCATAACAAACCCAGACTGGCGGCATACGTGCAAGGAATCCTCCGCCCATTGGCTGGCCATATAACACCACAATAGGACAACAGATGGGCTAACAGATTGATAGTATGGCCTCCAAGAGAAACAAAGAGAAGTGTTGGAAGATCCCAGAAAAGATGGCGACACGATATCTAGAAAACTGTAGGAAAAAAACTGGAAAAAGGACAGGAAATCGAAGAAAGATATGGAAGAGGTCTATATTCAGGAGTGGACGAATACGGACTGAAAGAAAGAAGTCCTACCGTTAGATTGATGACAAGATGACAGTCTAGTTCTAAAGTTGTTTCAGCTATGGTCAATAGTTTTCTTGTCTATGTTTTGCTTCGATAGAAAGAGATCCAAAATACCTTAATTTGAGTGTTTATATTTCGAAATCTTATGCGACATTCCAAATAACTGCAATAATCTTGGACGATTACGTCTAGTAGGATAACCACTGTGGTCGATCCGTTCCAATGACGATGGCTCTTTTTACCTCTCCAGACAGAACCAGGCTACTAGACACATAGGCACACATATGAGACCAGTAGTTGACTGATACCCCAAAATACCTTAAATTTGAGTTTTTATATTTCGAAATCTTCTGCAGCATTCCAAATAACCGCAATACTGCTGTAGGATTACGTCCAGAGGATAACCATTGTGGTCGATCCATTCCAATGACGATGTATCTTTTTGCCTCGACAGACAGAACCAGGCTACTAGACACATAGGCACACATATGGGATCAGTTGACTGATACCCATTTCCCTCGATTCGCCTAAATCGGTTACAAGCTAATTCGTCTTATTACTCCCTATGTGTCTAGTAGGTTGGTCGGGTCTGTACATACTTCTGTTCCACGCCAGATGATAATTTTTGAGATCTCAAATGTTAATAGTGAAATATTATCTTTGTAACAAATCTTTAGTCTCCTTCTCCATTATTTCATATTTGGGTTAATCAGTGGGCTGAAGTTACTTTCACCTATTCACATATTTATATTGGATTTTATTTTATTTTATTTACATATTTTATATTTTAGAAATTCACAATTCTTTCTTTGATGTTCTAGGTCCGCCAGGTCCTCCAGGTCCAGCAGGACCACCAGGCAAACGAGGAAAAAAAGGCAAAAAGGGCGAAGCTGGTGAATCTGGGACACCGGTAAGATAATTTCCATTCAAATAATATAGTTTTTCTGAATGTATGTTTATTTTCCAAGTTTATTTTTGTTTTAATTTTCTTTTTAGGGTCTCGCTGGCACGCCAGGCAAGAATGGCTTTCCGGTAGTTATTTTTTTTTTTAAATTTATTATAATTTCTTTTTCGTTTCTACATTCTAAGATCTTCCATTACCATTCATCTTGTGGTCAAACATACATTTTAACTCTGTCTGAATTTAATATTACAGGGTGACAAGGGTCAGAAAGGCGAGATGGGATACAGGGTAAGACACAGAGGGTGTTGAGGTTTTTGGTTTTGCGGTTTTAACATAATAATCATAACGGCCGGGAGTTTGAATGGAGGCATTTTGGCGGACATCTTTTCTATAAATTCTCCAATACGTTTTCTATTAATGTTTGTCATCGGCCTCCATGTTTTGCCTCAGCCGTAATACGCTTATTACCATAATAAAAATGGCTACTTAATTAATTTGAAGTAGATAATTTGATGCATCAAATGCATGCGATTTTTTTATACATAATTATTAACCTACCCTAAGTACCCTGTCCAGAGTAGTTGCAGTTAGAGGCCTGACTTTTTCCAATTCTCTATTTCCCTCTGATGAGGATGGCTCAAATAATCTTCCACGTCACAAGTTTTTCTTTTATAGCTCTCTAATTTTCCAAATTTATTATAAGTTTTCCAATTATTTCTTTCTAGTTTGGATGCAACTGTTTATAATTTTAGACAATATTAAAGTTTACCAGAACTGGGTAAAACCTAAAAATGAAATATGTCTGTTGCAGGGTCCGACAGGGTTGCGCGGATTTCCGGGATTTCCGGTTTGTTGATTTTCATTTGTTTTATTGCTTACGGTGTCGGAAAATGGTCTATCTGTTTTTTGTTTCGCCCTCTGAAATTATCTGTCTTGGTTGATCCCCATATAACCTACCTGTTGTATTTTATTTTGGATGACTTAACACAAATTTTATCCAGAGGAAAACATTTCGAATGTACAAACTGGCCTTAATCCCCTATAATATGAAGTAGATGAAGTTGCTTAACCCTTATAGCTTACCCAGTTTCATACTAACTCATCCTTTAGAAATCATCGAATACTAACATAACAAAAGTTAATTTTTCAGTAATTATATTTCCTTATTTTGTTTAGGGTCCTATTGGATTGGACGGACCAAAAGGAGATCCGGTAAGTAGATATATAATTAATTTAAATACTTATTATACAAACGTATCAAAAAAATGCAGGATTTTATGCAAAAATTTTAAAATTCTTGACCATAATCAGTATGTGTATTTTTCTGTGCTAAAAAGTGATACTGTACTTTATTACATTATTATGTGGAACTTCATTCATATCTTTGAATTATGCCTTTTGGCTTATTTGTTGTTGTTTCCTACCGCACTTGTAGGCGAAACGTCAGGATCCCAGCTCACAATCTCTAAAAACTTCTTATGAAAAATATATTTCTTTATTGAAGTTTCAAGACAAAATAGCTAATTTCACATTCAAATACATATAGCGTACATTCGAAATTTAGCAATAGGGTAGACTTTTTATGTGTCCTGTAATATTGCCTGATACCCTTCCAAAGCTATTATAGTCACAAACGAAATTATTATTATTTTAGGGCCCACCAGGAGATAAGGGTCAAAGAGGGCAACCGGGTAGCGCTGGAATTGACATCATCCAAGCAGTAAAGGTAAATTTGATATTTTAATACACTTCAGAATATACCCGACCCTTAACAAATGTGTTCCATTTATAGGGCTGAAATTTTTAGCTCCAGGCCGAATGTAATCAAAAATATGTTGCACAAAAAATATTTTAGAAATTCTCCTCGTATGTAGTGATTTTTTTCTGTAACTGTCTCCGTCGCACCTTAGTGTAAAAATTAGTTCCCTCTTTGAATCTCTTTGAGTGAACCTTAAAACAACTGTCTTCGTCTTTTTCTGGCTTATTTTTCAATTTATTTTAATTTTCCTAAAGCCGCCAGGAAGGGTGAGTCTTTATCCAATGTTACACGTTTTTGTTGCGATTTTTTTAGACGGTTTTCCAAAACTAGAATAGTTTTTTTGTTTTGTTTTGTAGCCTCTTTATTCTAATCTTTTTGGTTTAAAAAATATATGAAAAATATTTTATTTCCGTCTATTTAGGGCTTTAAAAGGTCTGTGACGACACTGAGAGGCGGCACGCTGGGATACGCCGAAATTGTAGCTGTCAAGGTAAACTGGGCCAGCATCGAAAACTGTTATTGTAGCTGTTGTTTGTATTTTATCTCTCGTAGGAAAATGGTGTACCAATTTGATTAAGAAGTGATAATTAAATTGAAAAATCCATTAAAATCTAAAGGATTAATTAATGATTAAAAAGAAAGACAAAAAGATATTGGAGCTTTAGCTTCCAGACACTTTTTAATTGCTTTAATCTCATATAACGATCCCTCCGTTTGCTTCGTTACGTTAACAAGGAGTTAAAAGGAGCTTATCTCAGAGTTAGAGTATATACATTGTCTGACTAGGAATTTCAAACTTTTGTCTCAAAAATTTGTACCCTATTTTCATGTATTTTAGGCATGACTGTTTATACTCCCATTTTCCAAACAGGTGTAGGATTTAATTATTTGTTGTATATTGTTGTGGCATTGTTCAAAGTATCTTTGTTGTTTTTTTTTTTTGTTTAATTTATGATTAGTGTATTTTTAGGGGCTTCAAGAAAGGGGCCATAACATAACCGGGGAAACTATCATTACGCTCAAAGTGAGTTAGTTTCAGTAATATTCCCATTGCTTCAGTACTAATTCGAAAAAGCACTAATCGAGGGCATAAAATTTGACCTAAATGCATGAAGAATACACTAATCGCATGTGTTTTTTGAACGCGTTCAATCTATTGAATGCGTTCAGTGTTTTTTGACAAAATTATAAAATGTCTATTTCAAGGGTGAACCCGGTGAACCAGGCCCACCTGGACCTGCAGGACCATCTGGACCGGAAGGGTCGTCAGGACACGATGGTAGACAAGGTATGCCCGGTGAACCTGGGCCTGCAGGAGAACGAGGCGAACCGGGTCCTATAGGACCACCTGGACCTCCAGGAATGGATGGACTTACTGGACCTAAGGTATAATTTTTGCTCTTTAAGTTCTGAAAGTATTTTTCATATTGAAAGCTTTGCAATCAAAAAAGCAGCACTTGAGTAAAGGGGCTAGGACAGTTCAATAGCAAAATCAGTCATTTTCCCATGTAAATGTCCATAAGGAAATCCAAGGTCCGTTCTGGCAATTTTTGTACCATTTTGAAGTGGGGGTAAAATTTCCAGGAATAAGCCCCGCCCCCTTTCCAGTGCTCGTGTCTTTCATTGGTCGCATTAATTGGTCAGCGGCTAGACAGGTTAGTAGTAGCGGGGGCACCTGAGCCTGAGAAATTTTTTGATACCGTGGGAAAATCTCTAGATCGGCGGAGCCTTTGATCTGAAATTTCGTGGATTTGACCTGGGCCAACCCCAAAATTTTCGATGTCATGATGTTATCGGTGGCGCCATCTAGCGTACATAGTGTGAAGCTCGTTGTGTCCTTATACAGGATGCCGTAGTGGTAAATAAAAAAAATTCGTGAATCAGCACGCCGCCGAGGTTTAATGTGGGAACAAACAGGAGTATCATGTTTCACGGTTAACCGGTTGGCCCGGGTCAAATCCACGAAATTTCAGATCAAAGGCGCCTAGAGATTTTCCCACGGTATCGAAAAATTTCTCAGGCTCAGGTGCCCCCGTTACTACTAACCTGTCTCGCGGCTGACCAGTTAGTGTGACCAATGAATGACACGGGCACTGGAAAGGGGGCGGGGCTAATTTCTGGAAATTTTACCCCCACTCCAAAATAGTACAAAAACAGAACGGCCCTTAGATTTTCTTATGAAGATTAACATGGGAAAATGAATGATTTTGCTGTTGAACTGTCCTAGCCCCTTTACTCACTTGTTTCAAAAATATTGTCGCGAAAATCTGGCGGAAGCGCCAAGGTGTTCAGAATTAGACAGCAGAGCCCCGATCCCGAACCGACGATTCGATAGTATCGTCTATTTAATTTATACGGACGATACTATCGAATCGTAGGTTCGGGATCCGGGGCTAGATTTTACAGTGCTATTCGGCAAAAAGGGCTATCGCGTTTAATCTGGATTTCACAAGAATAAATTAAATATATATAGAGGCCAGTATTAATTAGTAGTTTCTAAGTTTTAAGATTATTGCAATGGCCTATTATCACAGATAGACGGATTTATAAACAAAAATATATGTTGACAACATGTCCGATTCTTTCTATCCTGACCAAACTCCCTCACTTCTAAAATGCTACATATAGTCATAGGAATATTTATTTTCCTTTTCTAACGCAGGTATAAAGTCCTGCCTTTCAATTACACTTGGCAACACAGCCCTAGACTAAACTCGGCCTCCTGCCTGTCGTAGTAATACGTTCCGTTCTCGCCCAGAGTATCTCGTTGTCTCTATTTTATGCGATGAAGATTAGTTGTTAAAAAAAGACCGATACATAAGATATGTTCGTGTTAGTCTGGAGTACTTTTCGAATATCATCGTTTTGGTTTTGGAGCGGGACCCATTGGGTCTGGTCCATGGCAGGGAACAGCTGTTGAGGCCGGACTTAGATCGGGCAACTCATCCCCACCATGGACCGCCCGCACCCCAAATCCCCCCTGGCCTATAAACATGTTATCAACACAACAAATAGTATTTTATGAATGGAATACTCTGTCTATCTGTGATAATAGGTCATTGAATTTTACACACTGATCTTAGATTCCATATATCTGTATATATATTAAAATCTGTATGGCTTATAAAATCTGTATGGCTCAAGAATTGAGCCCAGAAGATTTCGAAACGCGTAGAGACTGCTGTAATGCGATCCTTACAACAGTGCCACCCCAACTATATTTTGTGGACTAGGACGAAGCGCATTTCCATCTTTCAAGAACAGTAAACAAGCAGAATTTTCGCTACTGGTTTGCTTGGTGTGCTTTGTCTTCTGTAGGCATCGTGAAACCTTATTTTTTTGAGGAAGATGGCGTCACTGTGCACAATGTGGACACATTCTAGTTACAACAGAATGGAGACACAGCCCATACAGCTCGTCGTTCTCGTGCCATTTTGCACCGGATTTTCCCTGGTCGATTGATCTCATTCCGGTAGGCCGTTGAATGGCCCCCTCGCTCCCCGGACTTGAGTCCCTGCGATTTTTTCTTGTGGGGGTACCTCAAGGCATGGGTTTTCAAACACCGTCCTCAATCCCTACAAGAACTGAAGGAGAAAAACCGTTAAGAAATCGCTAGGATTCCTCTAGATATGTTGGTGAGAGTGGAGGCAAGCTTCAGGGAACGGCTTGAAATGTGCATTGTTCGTCAAAGCCAATATTTACAAGATATCATTTTCAAAATTTAACAAAAAAAAAACTTTATTATGTGTGCTTTAAATTAATAATTTCCATAACTTGTTCCGACAATTTGAAGCCGTTGCAAACACCAACGGATGGAACGATCAAGAAAAAGCTACAGCACTGATAGTGGCGATATCTTCTTCAGCGAGAGTTTATAAGAATTCGAATCGGAAGTTAAAAAGTCTAGTGAGTTTGGCGTTTAGTGCAGCTGGGGAAGAATGCAGGAATGGATGGTATTATTTGCGTTTATTGATGGCCTCAGATATTCCAAGATCCAGGAAAATCTGAGAATGTCTAAGTTCGTAAAGGAATCTGTATCAAAAGTTGACGACGTAGTTGAGCCTTAACATTTTCGTTGAGATTTTCCTTTCTGAATTTCCTATAAATTCCTTCGTTGATCCACCACTCTTGAGACCTTTCTTTCATTCACCGCGTAGTGACCGCCACTCCGCAGAATAGTTCTGGTCCAGTCATGAGCTGTATTGAGCTTTCTTTGACTTGTTCATCAGCTTGTTAATTTCCTCGGTGACTTTTCGTGCCCTGAAACCCAAGTCAGCATAAACTGTGTTGCTTGTTTCTATACTCTCCATTTATTCTGCACAGTAGAATGGTTATTTCAGTCTGAACACTGTGAGGAAGCTCCTCATGGGTATTACGATTTGCGTTTCTGTCCATGGTTCGTAGAGTCCAGCTTCTATTTCTAGTGTGCTTGTGGAGCCATCTGAGTACCGGAATAATTCTGCTATTATAGTTAGGCCTTGTTTCCGGTAGCCTCTCGTTGGTATCTGTATTTCGGAATGGTTTTCGAAAATGTTTATTTCATCATGGATTCTTATTATGCAACGGTTCTATAACTGCTGTGGGGGTGGTACGCATTGCCCCAGTTTCGCCCAGGCATACCAGCTTTCACTCATACTGTTACCAATTTTCTTATTGCCTCTAGTCGGTTGGTTTTGGTCCGCCATATTTTTCGTCATATTCGTAAATCCTAAGTAGTAGGCAATCACTTGTCTGAGCACTAGAACTGGAAGCAATCTTTGATGCCTCACGACCCAAAATACGAGCAATATCCATTGAAGACCTGAAGGATGAACAATCGACAAAAGAAGATGGTAGCTTCGAGAATGTCATGAGAACTTTTATGGAGAAAGTGGAGAAACTAGTATTAGAAGTTAGACAAATGGTAAACGACTGCAAACAAACACTAACACCGAGAAACCGAGTAAAATGTTACCAGTGCCATAAGCTTGAACATATGCAATGGGATTGTAGCCTAAGGATGTCCTCTCTATCTAGGGATCGTTCCCAATCTCAACGCTTTTGGATATCTAGAGATGCCAGCTCTGAACATCGACTTAGAACCTGCATGAAAATGTTGACGCTCTGTCTAGACAGCCATGCAAAGAAGACTGCAAGCACCATCAAAAAATTGATCTTCCTGAGAAAAACACTGGTCCAGCTATGAGAAGAACGGGTCTTATCCTTGATGATGGTAAGTAAGGAATGGGGGCACCTGAGCCTGGGAAATTTTTCGATACCGTGGGAAAATCTCTAGAGTGGTTAATAAGGAAAATTCGTGAATCATCATGCCGCTGACGTTTAATGTGGAAACAAACAGAGGTATCATGTTTCACCGTTATTTTTACTTATAACTGATAAGCGTTTCCATTCTAGCAAAAACGACAAGCTCAGACTTGCATTTATCGATGATAAACATGCATGTATATTTTCACAGCCAACTAACTACATAGATATATTTAAAAACATTCCAGCCCATAGCCCCAAAATACTTCCAGTCATACTTAGTTACTGGATTATGGACTGCCAATTAAATGAATGCAGATCAAGAGGCAGACCAGGACATCGGGCAAATTCTATGTCTTAAAGAAAATGATGAATGTAGGCCAGAATGGAGGGAATTGTTGAACAAGAGTTTGAATTACAAGGCGTTTTGGGCGCAGTGGAACTCTGTGGCCATAGAAAATGGTTAAATAAAAAGAATTTGGGAAAGGGCCGATGGAAAATCTACTAAGAGCCAACTGGTTATTCCAAAAGATCGAGTGGAAGATGTATTAAAAGAAATACATGACGGAACTTCAGGCGCATTTCGGAATTAACAAGACTTTGGAGAAAACTCGGGGACGGTTTTACTGGGTTCACTATCATGAAGACGTTAAAAACTGTTGTCGAAAATGCGACATCTGTGCTCCCAGTAAAGGTCTCAAACTAAGATCTCGGGGGCCCATGAAACAGTACCTACTCCTTTAATTTCTTCAAATACAACCCAGGATTTATTTAATGTTGATAACTATTGACGCTCCTAAAATTAATGACAAGATCACTTAATTGGTTAGACATGGTTAGTCCCCCAAGTAGCACATACATGTCCCTGCGACTACGTATTAACCAAATGTAACTTCGCATGATTTTTCGTTGAAATTACATTGTGCCGTCGTCGTTAATGTATGTAAGTAACACGGTAGCAAAGGGTTTTACCAGTTTTGTGAAGCCTTAGAGCACAGTATAATTATTATAAATCGTAATCCAAGTTTTGTTCACTACGATCCTCAAACTCCAATAGGTCCCAACGGCAGTTGGAGATTGTTAAGTGTTAGTGAAAACTAGAAAATAAAGTGTACGCTTAGTAATGTATAGGTCGCAACGGTAAGGTTGTCTTAGTGTCATGATAGTTATAGCAATGGCATCTCAAATACCACAGCATATAAATGTGACGCCGTTTAATGGCACAGGCTTCTCTAACTCGGAATTCAGGGTGAAATTAGCTGTTGAGCAAGCTGGAGTTCTCTAAGTTTTGACAGATCTGATGTGGCTGCAATAATCAAGAGGAAAGTTATACATTTGGAGAGATTGACGGAATATCATGGGCGCGAAGTTGATCGGGACGATCAACCTTAAGATGAGGGCAGTGTCGCGAAAATCTGACGAAAGCGTCAGGGTATACAGAATTAGACAGCTGATTCTAGATTTTCTACGTCGCGTTTATTCTGAATTTTGCAAGAATAGATTACGGATATATAAAGGCCGGTATTAGTTAGTAGTTTTTAAGTTTTGAGATTGGCTGTGATACGTTTTAGATAGTGATTATTGTGAAAGTTGTAAGGAGTTGAGTTGTTTGAGTTAATTAGAGAAGTAATTTATTGGTGTCAGAGTGTGTAGTTACGTGGAATAAATTATTGTTGAATTCATTGAACTTTGATTTTGATATAAACGGACACAAGATTTCTGTCACGCGCCCCAGAGCCGTGAAAATATTGTCACAACTCCTATAGGTTTCGTCCTGGGACGGCACAACAGGAACGTGACCTTCGGGCGTAGGTGGGGTACAGGTAGAGAGAAACTCGCTTGGTATAGGTACAATGAGATATGTATTGAATAATAATAATATTACCCTAAAAATAGTATTATGACGTCTCTTCTACGAAGAGACGTACTACTTATAGGCCACTCTGTATTATGTACACTCTGTACACTGTGCGTGCCTGAAGACTGAAGCTGGGTTTGATACAGGTCCAGAAAGGTGTTTCCCAATAGAGGAAGTTTGCACTGGACCTAGTCTGCTGCGTTCAATACTCCCAGAAAGATGTTTCCCCTTAAAGGTTGTTTGCACTGGAAGCAGTGGCGCATCCAGAGTGTAGGTATGGGGGGGGGGGGTAAACAAAAATCCAAATCACGCTTACTTACTGCCGGTTGCAGCTTGCCGCAGGGTCCCCGAAAATTGTTTGGGGGGTGTACGCCCAAATTATTACCCATAATTTAGTTTACATAGTTTACAAACCAAAAATCGATGTTTTTCTATCAATATTTTTTTAACATCGATATCAGCTTGCGATGTTTTATCGATACCGAAACATCGATGTTTTCAGTTGGATCGGCATCCCTAGTTGTTGGATGTAGGGTAGGTAAGTGCCGAATTTATAGTCGTTCCTTGGGTCTTCCTTGAAAAAATTTTGGAGGGGGGAAAATATAAAAAACGCAATATCTCGAGAACGGACCACCTTTGCGACCTAAATATGATGACCCAAGGGCTTTCAGCCCTCAGCCCGAGTTGGTGATGTATTTAGCCCCCCCATCGATGGGGGGAATAAATTTTCAGAAAATCGCTGAAGTCGAACCGCTGGTCCAATCGCCGGAACTCTATACGAGAGGCCCCTATCTAGAAAGCAAAACCCCCTGGGGGCCCCTAAAAAATTTTTTGGAGCCGATTCGGACGAAATTCAGAATGTAAGTGAAAGGGGTCCAAAAAAAGTTGAAATTTCAAGTTTCAGCCCTCTACGACTTACCGGAATGGTTTTCGCCCCTATCCCCCCAATTTTGAAAAAGGGCGTGTAATGGGGTATACGGGCCCTGCATTTAATTTTCCGAATTTTGAAAAATTAAAATTTCTATCGGATAGAGGGGCAAAAAATACGTCGAAAATATCTCTAGGCATTTTTTGCCCTGACGCTTCCTAAGCCCGCAAAAAAAATAAAAAAGAATATTCTCTTGGAAATTTTTGGAGACCTGACACCGCGCCACTTTTTCGCTTATAACTTTGGTGATTTCGAACCGATTATCTCGAATCCGGTTTCTTTTGGAAGAGCATTAAATTACCTACAAATTTGTTCCATATTGATATTCCAGGTTGTTTCTGTTTTCGAGATATAAGCCGTCAAAGTTGAAATTTCTCAGAAAATGTATTGAAATATTTGAAGTCGATTTTCTCGAAAACGGTGCCCCGTGGAGGGGTAACTCTAATAAGCTTTTTTGTAGTTCTCAATGAGATCTACAAATTCAAGATTCAAGTTGTTAGGATGGCTAACTATGTGACAAGTTAGTCATGTCAATTCTAAACGTTGAAGACCTCCTTCCTCCTTAAATTCTGAGGAAACCTGAAGAAGCAACTATAAATTCGGCCCTAAGGGCCGGTTTCTCAATAGCAAGTCACCACCGGGTTAAGCATAACTCCATTGCAACTGGACACGTAAAGGCCGGTTTCTCAATAGCGAATCTCCTCCGGTTTAATTTTAACTCCAAGGTGAGCTTGTCCAGTTGCTTTGTTTACCTTGGATTTATGCTTAACCCGGAGGTGACCTGCTATTAAGAAACCGGCCCTAAGACACATTCACCCTGGAGTTAGAACCAACCCAGAGGTGAATCCCTATTGAAACCGACCCTAAGTGTCGCGGCGCCAAGTGACAGACATTTGAAGTCGATGAAGAAGACAAAAGTGAAAAAGCGCTAATGGCGGTAATAGATTTCGGCGCGGTATTTATACCAAATTGATGCTGACTCGTCGACACACTATTGAAAAATTTATATACAGAGTAGAATTTACTTAAGGAGCTGACAATATCTATTATTTTTTTTTGTTTTGTGTTTCAGGGAGATCGAGGGGATAAAGGTGAACGAGGTTTGACGACAACGATAGCTGGAGACGTTAAATTCCCAACGGGAATCATTGAAGGACCTCCTGGACCACCTGGACCTCCAGGTATGATTATTTCTAATTTATCCAAAAAAAATCTAAGTAATATTTTTATTAACTACGTCTATGTGTCCCAAGCTCGGCCTCTGTTGGTTTCTATGCAGAATAGGCGGAGCTATACAATCATAGACGGACTCAAATTTTGCCTATTATAAAAAGCCCTTAGATTGGCGAAAAAAAAAACACAGCAATTTCCAAGATGCAATTATTTCACTAGTACTTTATTAGGTGAAAAAGGTGATGCAGGTCCTCTCGGACCACCAGGAGCGCCGGGAGAGAAAGGAGCTCGCGGCAAAAGGGGTAAACGGGTAACGTACTTGGACATTGTTTCTTTTTTCCTGGCCCTTTTTTTTTCTATCAATTACACTAACTGAAATCGAATCCAAAAACACAATTAGTTGGTTTAATTGATGGAAAATCTAACATAATAAATAATTCATAATTGCATAGCTTCATATCACAAACATTATTTATCTGTGGGGAAATTGTGCATGTAATTTTTAGTTGTCGGGAGCGAGAGCATGTTTTTCGAGTATGAATTATTTTTATTGCTAACCATCGAAACAGTGCATTGTTTGCTTGCTTTTGCATACGCATATTGCATTAAATTTGAATACATTATCCAAAATAAATAATAAATGTGTATTTTATTATTTTTATTTTAATAACCTGTTGTTACTAACTTATTTTTTTATTTTTTTTTTAGTTTTGTACACGCCTTTCATTGGTGCACCATTAACATATATTGTTGTGAATACCATTCATTTTTAGTTTTAGTAGGGCTTTGCCACATATTTTTTTGTAAGTATTAGATGTATTTTTTCTACTTTGCAATTATTTTACATTTTATTGCAGGTATTCGTAACTGTAAATATTAGCACTACGCCTTTGACTTTTAAGCTCCTCCTACTACTACTATCCTCAATTGAAATACTGGGAGGAGCTCAAAAAGCATTGGCGTACGAATCATTTTGTAAATAGTTAGTATAATATTTGTTTTTTTTTTTGTTTATTAGTGTAGGCATGTATGTATAATAAAAATCCAAATTAAATTTCTTCTGAAACAAGAAATTTGATTTGTTGATCGATATGAAGCTATTTGATTTGTATATAGGGTCAAGATGGAAAAACATTGTCAAAAGGTCCGCCGGGAGATAAAGGGGAAGCAGGTGCTCCTGGTCCGAAAGGAATTAGGGGCGAGTGGGGTTTAACTGGTATGCCAGGTACTTATATCGTTCCTTGATTCTTTTTCAATTAAATCATCATCGGGGTAAAATGGTGTGGCAAATAACATCAAAAATCAAAAGTTTAAATGAAAATTTAATTATTTTCAGGACCAAAAGGTGATAATGGACTTTTAGGACCGGCAGGAGTTGCTGGAGCTAATGGAGAACCTGGTCCGCAAGGACCACCTGGATTACCTGTAAGAATTATACGTTTTTTAATTATAGGCTAAGTTATAATAGTGTTTTTTCTTAGGGACAAATAGGGCCTAAAGGTGAAAAAGGTGAATACGGTGATATAGGACCACCAGGTCTGATGGGTCCACCTGGCTTGCCAGGACCACCAGGGTATCCCGGAATGAAGGGTGATAAGGGCGAAAAGGGCGAATCTGTAAGTGGATGTTTAAGAAAAAATGCTACGTCTATGGTATAGTGGGTGGAGCTTAAAATGCATAGGCGTACATTCATCGTGGGGCAAAAAACGCAATCTGTTTTAAAGTGCTAGTTTCGATAGTTTTTGAAATATCGGAAATTATTTCTGCTTTATAATCATCTGGATCTGGATAGTTGCAAAGGAGGGTGAGTTACCTCACTGACACTAGGCCTTGCCTTAGTGCCCTTTGTGTAACCTCCATTTGTTAAGGCGCATTCTCCTCGCCGGAGGTCTTCGCACCCGTTAAATAAATTGCGGGAGAGTTCCAGGTGAGGTGCGCCCCAACCTGGACATATCAGGCCAGATGTTCCCCAGTACGGCTTGTCGTTGTTGACATAAGGTTGGGCAGTGACAAAGCACATGCTCAACCGTTTCGTCTGCAGCGTCGCACCATATACACATTGGGGTCTCAACAACACCACCCAAGGTGTTTATTTAGTCTACAGTGTCCTGAGTTAATTCTTACCGGTAGGCGGAGGTTTTCCCTCGACAACTGTACACTATACTCGGCTCTTTTCCTGCTAGGGAGGTCGATCATTGATCTGCCCTGCTTAAACTGCTGCTGCCTAAGCTGCGCCACATTTTGGCGTACTCTAAATGACTGATTCGTTTAACCTCGGCAATGACGGTGTTAGTTGACAGAGGGATCATGGGTTAAGGTCTGATCGGACCCTTCCCTGAAGCTGCTCTGGCAAGACCGTCAGCCTCTTCATTGCCTGCATTGTTATCGTGCTCTTTGACCCAGCAGAGTTCAACGGTGTTCTTTTGTGCGAGTTCTTCTAGAGCCTCTATACACTGCATAATCAGCTTTGAGTTTGTTCTAGCTGTCAAGGGCCGACAGCACGGATTTACTATCCGTTAGAAATTGCGACCCGTCCGTGTATATTGAGACCGTTGGGGTAGCCTGCACCTCACCCAACTTATAGACACTGTAGGATCTTTTTGTTATCTGGTATTTTGGTCCTGACAGGCCCTTTTTCTCGTTTGTCTTGGTACCGAAGTAGGTCGTCCTCCTTCGTTTAGAATTTTAAAAATCTTAAAACTTTATCCTTGTTTTTGGCCATCGAGTCTATATGCTTGAAAATTAACTAGCCAGAAGAGTGCTTTCTCGTGTCTACTAGAAAGTTTCCTGGAAATTCAACCGATTGTTGATTTTTGTGAAGGTTTTTGAAAGTAAAGTTACTATCGGCCGTTCAGGTATCCAAATTCCTTTTTCTCTCTGATGAATAAGTCCTTATATTCCCTCAATTCATTCAGGCACCTTCGGCAGGACGAAAAATCCGTGCCTGCACTCTTCAAGTAAAAATTGACAAATTTGAGATCACGCTGTCCTGAAAAATCAGAGGAAATCTGGGCCACCTATTCAAGGAAAGTTGTTGTCCTGTAAGAAGTTGATCCCCAACCATTATTTGGTTTTCTCCTGCCAGTTTGTTACCTCCAGAGCTCAAGTTTGTGAAAACTTCCGAGGCTTTACAAGGATTTCGTCCAGGCTTGCATAATTACTTACCTATGGGTGTCTTAAACGTGCCATCTTAATTACCGTAACCTATTTTTACCTTTTCTTTATCGCCCCTTATCGTTTAGCTTTATTAGCTAATTAATATCTTTGTAAATTCAATTACCGACCTAATTGTTTACCATATAGTAGTGTTTAGCTAAAATAGCTAACTACTGTTTGAATAGAATTATTAATTTAATTAATTAGTTATTATCATAGTCAGATATTGGCTTTTATTATCGTTTTCTCTATCATTATTTATTATCCAATAAGTATGCATTATTATGATCATTATAAATGTATTTCCGTAATATCGAGTACCGAGTACTGATCGATATAAAATATTGTGGATTCACTTTAACTTTTAATACCAAATCAATAATGTGGTAGTTTTACAGGTAAACTAATGTGAAATCTGTAGGTAGTCAAATTTAAGTTTTATGTTTACTTATTTTGAACTTTAAAGGTAAGAAGGTTGAGCTCTTCCGGAAACCCTGACTCCTTGATTTCACTTTGCAGGTTTTTGATATTTAAAACTGCCTAGGGAGTATTTATTACCTTTCCGCATTTTATTTATTGATTTGATTAACTTTCAGTCAAAAATTAAATGTTATTTTTATTTTGACTTGAACACTTTAACTTAGGTAAGAAGCCTCATCGTAGGTATCTTCAATCTTTTTATATAGGTACCTATTTAAATTAAGTATTGCTTCCCGCTTATAAATATAATCACCTTTAAGTCGGTAATTTAATCTTCATGGATATTAATTAGCTAATAAAGCTAAACGATAGGGGGCGATAAAGAAAAGGTAAAAATAATTCACGGTAGTTAAGATGGCACGTTTAAGACACCCATAGGTGAGTAATTATACAAGTCTAGACGGAATCCTTGTAAAGCCTCGGAAGTTTTCGTAAATTTGAGCTCTGGAGGTACCAAACTGGAAACAACCAGATAATGGTTGGACTTAACTTCTTACAGGACACAAACTTTCTGAAAAGGGGGCCTAGATTTGCTTTGAGATTCAGGACAGCATGGTCTCAAATTTGTCAATTTTCACTTGTAGTGCAGTCACGGATTTTTTGTCCTGCCGAAGGTGCCTGAATGAATTGAGGGGATATAAGGACTCATTCATCAGAGACAAAAAGAGATTCACATACCTGAACGGCCGATAGTAACACTCTCAAAAATCTTCACAAAAATCAACAATCGGTTGATTTTCCAGGAAACTTTCTATTAGACACGATCAATCACTCTTCTGGCTAGTTACTTTTCGAGAATATTGACTGGATGGCCAAAAACAAAGATAAAGTTTTAAGATTTTCAATCAATTCTAAAAATCTGGACGACTTATTTCGGTTCCAAGACAAAAGTCTCTGTCTGTCAAGCTTGTCAAAATCATAAAAATGACAGCGCTACAGGTTTCTCGGAAACAACAGAATTCTCGTCTCTTGTCAGAAGAATCATAGATGTCGCTGGGTGTACGAAATAGTACTTTTACATGAGTCCAAAATAAAGTCTGTTTTTTTTTTAAGATAAAAGTCAAAATGACATTATGTTGGCAATACAATGTAAAATTGTCATGGTTTCAAATTTTTTATGTAGAAAAGGCTTGTGTTGCCAACATAGTTACTAAATTTTTGACTTGGGGAATTATCTTTAAAAAAAAAAACACGCTTTATATAAAAATAATTAAGAACAATAAATATATGTGTTTGACATTTCAAATGTTACAAAATTTAGGAGTTCATCAACTACTAGACTCCACATCAAAGATGAGTGTACCCCTCCCTGCGGACATCCTCTAGTGGTGGTGACCTGAGCTGGGATCACGACGAGTAGAATTCCACTTTCATGACGTCACCCGCGACCTATTTATCGCGTACAGTACTGGGGATGATGATCGTTGCTAGGCAACCTGACGTCATGAAAGTAGAATTCTAGTAGAATTCTACTTGTCGTAATCCCGGCCTTGTATGGTTTGTTCACCCACGTCAATTTCTGCAGTTCTGGTGGCTAGCGTTTCGCATATCCAGATGGATATGGTTTTGTCCACTTATAGGCCGTTCGGCCACCTGCCGTGTAGATGTTTTCCCATCAGTTAATTTGACATGCGTCTCCCTGTTTCATCTTTGTATATATTATGATTTTCCCAATCTTCTTCAGCGAACTCTATTTTGAGCCCCTTGTCTCCATTTCATTAGTTCTGCATTCAATCTCTATACTTTCAATTTAGCTCACTTAACTCAATTTTAGAGAATATTTTCAGGAAAATCCAACGTACAGTACAGTTTTAAAATGGCAATATGTCGAACAGAATGCGCTTTTTTATACCCACCTAGTGCATCTATTATAATAATTTTGTTTTTTCCTCTTTAGAAATACAAGAAGCTTCGAAGAAGACAGGTAAATATTTTCTTTATTTTAATAAATTTTTCATATAATATAATGAACTATTATTCAATTAAATACTCTGTTATTACTGTATCTTTTTTGTACTTTTTTTCCGCTGTTTCAGGGTGACGGAACCGGAGAAATAATATCTGCAGGAGACATGGTAAAATTTGAAATCATAATGAACTCATTCGTACAAAAATTAAATTATAAATTATATTCGCATTTTTTTTCCATTTAGATTGTTGGTCCACCGGGGCCACCAGGAAATCCTGGAACACCTGGATTACAAGGACCACCTGGAATTAAGGGCGACAGAGGCATGGACGGAATCAAAGGAGAACCTGTGAGAGTTTTTTTTTTATATACCAATTAAATGAAAATTCATTAAACAATTTTTAGGGCGAAAAAGGAGTGAAAGGTGATGCTGGACCAATGGGCCTACCCGTAAGCGACCAAAACCTTTTTTATATTAATCCCTACGTCTATGATTTTAGCGCTCCTCCCACTTTCAAAGGGAGGAGTCCTAAAAACAGAGGCATATCAGAGATTCTAAAAATATTCATTCCAGGGTCCAATGGGTTTAAGAGGAGAAAGCGGCCGAACAGGCGACTACGGAAAGCCGGGCCCAATGGTAAGGAAAACATACTATAACTTGGACTAAAAAGATACAAACAGAAAGCGTTTTCCAATGCAGTGACTTAACAAATTATTAACATTCCACCAAATCCCTATTAACACAATAAAACACAAATTATTTTTGTTAAGTGATTGTTTTGTCTCCAATTTGATTTGGATGAGCTCAATATTGACACACAATTTCGAAAAATGTGAAAACTTACGAGGATATTTCAGGAGGACAATAATAGAAGCTGGTAGTTGGGGGAAGGAAAACGACCGGGATAATAGTAGTTACAGAGGCTAAAAATTTAAAATTTGCCTTTTTTTTCTGATATAATTAATTTTCCTTTTTTTTTTTAAGAAAACATCGGTCATGGGTTTTAAACACATATAGAGTGCGTACCGATATTTTCTTTGAAAAAAAATATTTTGTATAAATTATTACAAGTCCTAGAGCTGTATGTATTGCTGATTTATTATTTATTTTATAGCATTTAACTTTAAATTTAAACAATTGGAAATGTAAAGTAGTTACCATGATTATTATGTCCAGATTCAAAATTTGCTTCCTATACGCCTATGGGTTTTAATACCCAACCCCGACTCATATATGGGTGGGTCTTAGAAGCCATAGGCGTACGGATTTGAATATTGTAAAATATTTTTCCATATCAATTATTTTTTGTATATTATTTTAAATGCCATCCAATGTTTTTTTCTTAACGTCCACAAAGTACTTATAATGCAAAACAATAAATGAAAATCCGATGTCCACATTTATAGCTTAAATATTTACTTAATTATGCGTAATTGAATAATATAGGCTTTGATTATTTATTATATTGTAAAGATGCCATTTTATAATAATCATTTTGTGAGGTTGGCTATTTGCCCCTGCACATTTGCAATGTTATATAATAAAACAAAAAATATTGTAAAATAAATGTTAACATTTTTATAGGTGTCCAATATAGGTTTAGAATTTGTAAGTAATATACAGGTTATTATAATATAATAATTACGTGACTGATTTTTATAGTATTATTAAAAATTATTAATGTAAGTACGTACTAAAAAAAAAAGTTGCATGGTGAAGCATTTTCGAATATTACATTCAATTCGTCCATAATAAATAATATCCCTTTACTAAAATGTAATATTTAAAAATACATAACAGTCAAAAATACAATATAATGTACATTTCAGATTTATTAATTTCTAGCCTATAAGAAAGAAGCAGCTGTATTTAAACAAAACAAAAAAAAAAGTCCAAAATAAATGTATGTGCATGTGCGGAAATGTGACGATTTTTTCTTTATTTATTTGCTTTTATTTTGAATGAGAGTGATTAAATGCATCCTATCATACCTACGCCTATGTGTTCAGGGCAGAGCGTAAAGCACAGTGACGTATCATTAATATTTCCCCTACTAACAATCACCTTTCTAAGAATTATTAAGAGTGCAACAACCAAATGCTGTGCATGTCATTTAAATTATAAATGGAAAATTGTGAGCATTGGCATCAAATCATATTCATTTAAAATGTAAACTAAAATTACGGCTCACAATTTTTGACACTTTCTTAGATATTTTTCTTCACAGGGTCCACCTGGATTGGATGGTATGAAAGTAAGTATTGATTGATTTTTCCAAATTTTGGTTCAATAATGAACAATTTTTTTTTTTTAACTGAATAAACTAATATTAAATCGTCATACGTCATCAGGGTGCACAAGGAGAGCCTGGTACGAAAGGGGAACGTGGAGATCCGGGATTACCAGTAAGTTACCTTTTAATTATTTTTGCTATTATTTTGTTAAATTTCTTCATTAACAAGTAAAACCGTACGCCTATGGGTTTTACGATTTTGAACACAGAAGGGCGCAATAATTTATTTCCGCATATTTATCGATTGGTAGGTTTTAGTAGGTACTAATTCTAGGTACCTTCCTACTTAATAATAATTTTATCGACTATCCAATAATATAACTGCAGATTCACTTTTCGTGTAAAAAAAAAATAAATGTTGGAGTGTTGTGTAGAAATGACTTTATTCACATACCTATGAGATTTTTTTTAGATTTATCAAACTTGGGTCTGTCATTATACCATTACCTACATCACCTAGTGTAGATATAGTTGGTTTATTTCAAAAGTCGTACATAAAAGGTCATGTTATTATGTGACTCGCTTACACTTACTATCATTTACCCCCACACTTGGATAATTAATAAAAATGCATGTTCATCTCGTACCTCAACTTCATCGTCGTACATCATTCCCTAAATCACGATTATTAACCTTTGTTTTCTTATAGGGAACTGACGGGATTCCTGGTCAAGAGGTACTAACACGTTTTTTTAGATGCATGATTAATCGAATCAAATGGTAGAAAATAGGGGAAAGTGTTGGTGTAGTTCTGAAATTTGGTTTGTATATGTTTTTTGGGTTGCTTTATACGAATATCAAGTTTGCCAACAAGAAATTTGACCGGATATTGGTTTTGTAAAGGAAACTGCCTTAAAAAAGTGCCTTTTTACAGTTTCAATCAAATAACTGGAAACCTATTCAGTTTGGTAAATATTGATTTTATATAAAGTGGAAGAGTATAAAATTTCCTACATTGAATTTTTTTCAACCGTGATGAGGACGCAAAGTTGGGTGTATCTTCACCAACGTGTCCTTTTCCTTGAAGGCTCTGGCTCTTCATCGGCATCTACAATATAAAAAGAGGCAAATGAAAAAATATCTTGTGGATCATTTACTCTTAGTTACAACTGATACCTAGTCTTATTTCCTCGCCTTTATTCATTGGTTGAGTTACTGAGAAATCCAACTCCAATTAATTTCTGATTGAGGGCGCCGGCTTTTCATCGTCATCTATCCTACAATATTGAAAAAGACCAAAAAAATGGAATTTTAATATCATTTTTAACTGATACCTTGTATAATTTCCTCGTCTTCTTTTATGGGATCAGTGAAATCCAACTTCAATTCGTTCATTTCCACCTCATCTTCTGGGTCTGCAAGAATGACTGCCGTATTGTCGCAACTGTTTTCGCAGTTCAAGCACAAGGTACTGCAGCTCAGCCCTGCTTTCTTACAGCCACAACTTCTTCGACAATTTGTAGTGCACCTACACGCGATAAGCTTCAATAAATCTAGGGGAGCAGGTGGTAACAAGCTAGCCACAGGTGCAAGACCAGTTATTAAGCTTTTCCATCCCCACTCTTCTGGGTTTTTTTTTCGACATCCAACCATTGCTGAACCTGATAATAGACTCTTAGTGAGTGTTGTCGCGCTGCAGCCCCAGATGCTGGTAGTGATGCAATGTTTGCCTTGAGCTTGAAAGCAGATTTCATGTAGCAAACATATCTCAAATAATTGAGCGAAGACACAGTTTTACAACTGTATCCATATAGTGAAACCAGAAAACGTTTACCAGCATCAGCAACCATATCCTGAGTTGCATTGGAGTCTTTGAATACTTTGATACTATCAGCAAGAAAAGGGTTTTTTCTCAGGGTATGAAGGAACTTCAGTTTTCCTTGATTGTACAATGCCGATGTTGTATCACATCCACCCATTGCGTGTAAGAACAGAATATTATCTGCGATTAATAAATCACTTATAGCATCAGTAGGAGAGAATGTAACTATAGAGACTTTGTTCTTCCCAGGTTTCAAAAAGACAACATTTGCGTCTTTGCAGAAACCTATCAAAAGAGGTCTATATCCTCACGAACTATAATCACAGTCACATTGGTTGGAGCCAGTTCCAGAGCTGTGTTCACTATCAGGGTATCAGCATCTTCTTCCGCCTGCTTGCAAGAAATTCCTGCCGAAGTAAACCTGGCCATGAGAATTGATATGCACCGACTTTTGTTTCCCATGTTAGCAAGGAATCTCTCTTTTGACATCATCAGCATCATTGTATAATCAAACCGCATGTCAGCTGAGGCCAGTTTCCTTGATCTGTTAATACGCTCTGCACTTTTTGTACCACCGTTTAGGCCTTCGAAGTACCCATCAAAAACAATCACTGCATTTGATTGATATTTTGATACGACATAATGTAATGGTCGCAAATTGAAGAAAACTTTGATTCATGGTTCACAGTACCTTATGCAAGAGAAACCCGCCACCTATGACGTATTGAACTTGGTCACTTAACAGCTGGTTTGTCTGGGATTTGAATGCTTTATACAGAGTAGACTTGATTTCTTTTCGTAAACCATTGTCAAATAATGTCAAGAAAAAAGGGCCTAGATCGTAGCTCGAAAATTCCTTGAGCTGCTCCTCTGAATGTTTGGCAATAGTCATTCTTTGGAACAGACTCGTTGGATTGATAGGTATTAGTTCGTTGTGTATCCGTATCGCACTAGTCATTATTGCCAGAGGTTGCACTCGGTCGTTCCTTTTAAATTTGATAGTTCCGAAGTCACGACCGACAATTCTATTAATACCTTTTCTGCCCAAATCCCAACCTTTATGGCAGTTAATTCGCTCGTCAGCCAAAATACCAGTGCTGATTGAATATAAATCAGGGTTTTCAGGGAAAGGAAAATGCTGCAAGAGCCATTCATATATCTTGGCCTCATCTTGTTGTCCCGTTTAATTCTTGAGTCCTTCAGTACTATGTGCTGTTCTGATGACTGAAATGTAACCCCACATTAATTTTCGATCTGTTCACAAACATGTTGCACAGAGTTGAACCCCAATGTCCACCTTGCCAATACACCTTCTCCTACAACACGACCGTCTGTGAGACCTCCATGAAGTTTCATATTCTTCATGAGAAACTGCTCAATGGTCATGTTAGTGCAAGTTCCACTCCAAAATTTGTCAGATCGTCGAACTGTGAAAAAACCATAAGTACTAATTTTTTCAAATTCTTCGACAGACATTGTTTGCTTCAAATTCAGCATATCTTGTAGATATAGATGAGCACATTTAGCAAACGCAAAGTGCCCTGATGCATGAAAATATGGTAACATCTTCCGAACAGTTTCAAGGTGGTGATCCCAGTTGCCTATTCTTTCAGACGAGATGAATAATTTCACAAAAGTAACTAGCTGCATACACTGTACCCAGAGCTGAGCAGTGGAGCCACGTTGTTTCAATTGTTGCAGTTGATGATTTACCTCTTGAATTCGCGACATTCATCAGGGTCAGATGCAAGGATCAGTGATTTGTCAAAGTTTTGTAGAATATCGTTTAGTTTTGTTTCAATTTCTGGAGGAAAGTTTATCATTTTCAGTATAATCTTCATAAATGCAACCTGGACTAAAAAGTGAGCTCTTACAGCTCTGTAGTAAGCATGTCCAGTCAAGATTTTTTCTATGGAATTTAACGCGTATATGCTATTGTTTAAATCCTTCAGACCACTGTCGTCCATTATGTGACCTATGGACCCTAAAAAGGACATCAATAAGTGGAATGCGCCTAATCTAAGAACCACATTATGCAACCTGGAGTCTGTGCAATTAGAAATAATGAATCGCGCCTTCAAGTAGAGTGGTTGATCGGAAGTCACTATGCATATTTTCTGACCATTCGCTTCACATTTATCTGCAGCCTCCAATAAAGCCGTAAATATTGTATCGTAATCTGTCGAAGGGGCATTTATGAAAGGAAGATAAGCAGCAAATATTTTTTTCAAAAACGAGATCTGTCGTAGCTTGCTCCATAAATAAATTCCAACCTGGTACGGCGGGAAAGCCTCTAAACTTGCCATAAAGCCAAAAGGTCAGATGTACATGGAAAGACAATTTCGGATTTAGAAAAATTCTTACTGAGGTCTTGAATCTTAACTTGCTCCAATCCTTCACCATGCTCTGCAGGTTGAAAATGTTTCAGGCTCACAGCCCTGAAATTACCAACAATCGTACTTTTTGGTATATTTGTCAATCTTGGAATGCTTTTATTTTCAGGTACTGCAGTTGCTACAAATAAATATAATTATTTGTACTTTAAGAGTAAGAGAACCTATAGGGTCGTGGAATTCAAAAATAAAGATAACGTGTAGCCCCACGTTGGGCGCCAATTTGTTACAAATAAATATAACGCCCTTTATGTGCAAATGAAACCACTCAAAACTCAACAAACAATAATTTTATTTAGTGTAAACAATATTGGTTGTGTGAATTATGTAAATATTGCTTAGTGCAAACAATATGGCTTGGTTGTTTCCTCTAAGAGCGAGGATAGATTGCTAGGATGACGTCACTCCAGCTGATCCAGACTTCAAATACTGATATTTGTGTCGAAAAGATATCCAGAATAAGGCAGTATCAGGTTCAGCAAGATTTGCAATATTAAATCCCTGAATTCTGTCAAAAAGTGAGTGTCTTGCAAAGAAGATTTAATTTGAAATTAGTTTTTTTCAGGTATGAGCAACTTTTGCAAATTGGAAAAATATTTTTATAAAAAAAAAAAAAATAATTGAAAATAATAATAAGAAAATAATAAAGTAGTAATAAAATAGGTAAATAAACAGCAAGATTAAAGATAAAAATAGATGCTCTTTATAATTGAGCAGAATGCTGCTTCTCTAGCAGTCGCACTTAACAGGCAAAATTTGAAAAAAAGAATGTAGGAAAAAGTGAATCAGATTTAAAAAAAAAAAAAAAAAATCTCTAGATTTTCCCCAAATAAACAAATTTTCCTTTTTAAGTTAAGGTACCTAGTATAGGTAGTACAAGACAAAGCTGGGGGTGAAAATGGTGAAATAAATTAAATCCAGGAACTGTCAAAAATCTTGAGATGTTTTAACGAAAACTTTTTATAGTTATTTATGTATCGAGGGAATTATGAGGGTGTTACTACCCCAGGGCAAAGTTTTGTGTGGTGTGTGGACACCAATGTCACCAATTGCCCATGGGTATTAACACCTGATAATTCCCATGGTACATAGATAATTTTATATCCTACTGAATTTACTGTATTTTGTCTATTTTTATAAATCATAAACCAAAATTTCAATTTTTTCTCTAAGTTTTACCTATTCAAGGTAAAAGCGGGAGTTATGGAAATCATTAACTCCCGCGTGGGAGTTAAGACCCTGTTTATGATTATTGTAACCAACAAGGTATTACATGGTTATAATAGTTCAGTAGGATATAAAATGAATTTTCGACCTATCCGGATTTGTATTCTAAAATTTCACTCTTCCAGCGTTCTCCTTCTGAAAGAGTCAAACGATGAATGGCTATACAGGCCTCTTCCCGGATTCGGTAAAGTATTGATAGGGATGGACACACAAATTTGGTTTGCATAGGGCATCGACTCTATTTAGAGAAAATGGTCCAACAATCCCACACTAACAATTGACTCCAAAAACCAAAGCAGCAGCACCTATCTATTTGCCAAAACTGTGAATTGACTGTCCTTAGCAAAATGTGAGGACCATACAAAATGGAGGCTCACAAAATAGATTAAAATATAATGTTTATGTTTTAAAGGTAGATAAGATAAGATTTATCAATTATTAAAAACTCAAGCAGTGATAGTATACACTGATGGTGAAATAAATTGAAAAATATTAAGGGAAAATCTTTAGGCAATTTTCAATTTTCTTCGTCCAACCCAGTTAGGTTTTGGTACGAAAGGCGGATGCGAAATAATTAGCCACTCAGTCCGTCGTTTTTTGTCCTTTCCTCATTTTTCAGATAAAATTATTTTGAAAATTGACTTTTATATTGCTTTCAAAATGATAAATAGAGAAACTATATTATTATAGGTTAAGAAGAACATACCACAATTTTTCAGTTTCATTTCCCAGTGTTATATAAATCCTTCTTTTTTATCATTTGGAGACAAAACCATTTTTTCACAAAGGGGAGTACAACAAGGTGATCCTTTAGGTCCACCACTGTTCTGTTTATCTCTACAGTCTATAATATCAAAATTAAAATCTGATATAAGCTTATGGTACCTCGATGACGGAACTTTAGCTGGAGACCTTTGTAGCGTGCTCGAAGATTTTGAATTTTTGAAAAAAGAATGTTCCAATATTGGCTTGAAAATTAACATGGCATAGTGTGAATTTTCATTTTTGCGTGATAAACAAAATTTAAATATTCCACATTTTGACTCAAAACTGGACGGTTTATCAAGAGTTGATTTTGAAAAACTTGCTCTTTTAGGAGTACCCTTCTTTGAAAAGGAAATTGGTAATGTTTTTCATCGAAATTGGATGTTTTTACGAAATTTTCTAACAAACTTTTATCTCTAAATTCTCATACTACCTATTATCTTTTGAAACATTCCTTTTCAATTCCAAGAATCACTTACTTACTTCGAAGTGCGCCTTGCTGGAGAATGCACGAATGTTTAGAAAAATTTGACGATCTTCTGAAGAGCAGTTTAGAAAATATTAGAAATTGTAAAATTCATTCGAATGCTTGATCACTGTGCACTCTTCCAACTAAATTAGGTGGTTTGGGAATTAGAAATAGCTCATCTTTATGTTTTTCAGGTTTTCTTGGTTCTGTGAACGATTTTTCATATTTGTTTCCACAAATTCTTCCTGGAGAAATTATTTCGCTTCCAGACTTGGCTTTGATCGAAGTATCGAAGGAATATCAAAATAAAATTCGTGTACATCTGCTCATAAAACATATAAGAACCAAATATCAAAACTACACCAAAACTTTCCCCTATTTGCCATTTTTAATAACCATTTGACTAGATTAGATCTTATTTTTTCCCAATTTACAGCATAATAATTCGATTATTTTTCTGTTTTCAAGGGCCCTAAAGGAGATAAAGGATATAAAGGAGATGCAGTAAGTTATAAGTCACAATAACGAAAATAGCTCTGATATCAGAGGTGTTTTGTTTACTAGGGTCCTATTGGAAAACGTGGTAGAAAGGGTGACAGAGGCGACAAAGGGGACCAAGGTGTACCCGGACTTGATGCACCTTGCCCATTAGGTCCAGATGGACTACCCTTGCCAGGTTGCGGATGGCGACCACCAAAGGTAACGATTGGACTGTACAATAAAAAATTATCTACGCCAATGATTTTTAAGCCCCTCCTAATGGGGGTGGCTTAAGGCACAGTGGCGTACTATAGTTGTAATTAACAAATATAACTAATATTTTGGTGTGGTAGCTAACTAACCCAAACTAACCAATTCCAGGACTTAAGTAGGCCCTCACCATCAGCTCCGCCGTCCATGAGTACTGACATAGACACAGAAGATCCGATAGATGAAGGAAATGCTGAAGAGTACGATGACCAAGAAGGCGAGGATGACTATGAAGAATATCCAGAGCAAAATATGGCATTGCCTGTCTCAGCATCAGCTATTTAACATTTGTTGATTGTTTTTTTTGTTGGGTTTTGGTTGTTGATTTTAGGGTAGGTTTAGTTAGAATATAGACGATGTAAACGTACGATTTTTTAGTCACATTTCTCTGTTGACAGTTCTGCAAAACTCAGTAGGTTTACATCGTTACAATATTTTAAATAATTATTATCCTCTCCCTGACATATTCGATTTTTTTTTTCAGATAAATGCAATTCGACAGTGATTTGATGACAAAAAAAAATAAACTCAAAAGTTCTAAATGTACTTACTAGTGAAGTGAATTTGTAAATAGTGATTTATTGACTTTTTGGACATTTTAAAATTTCATCTTATAACGTATGTGCCAATAATAATAATTAATTACTATTTTTTTAATTTATTACTAAACGAATTTATATTTTTAATTGATTAATTACTAAGAGGATAGGTATTAATATTTAGCTTGTTTTTGTATAATGTTGTGTCTAATTCGCGTTAGTAAATAAGCTTATACATTTTTAAAATTTACAATTAATTGCGTTTACAAAAGAAATTGTTGAATGTTCGTTATTATATATAAACGTTTTAAGTAAGATACTTTGTACAAACTGTATAATATGATTCATTTATTTAAGTAAGTAAATAAAACCAATATGATTGACAAAAATAACAATTTTATTAATTATTTATAATGAAATCTAGTTACACTACGCCTATGAATTTCAAGCTCCTCCTTCTCCTACACAAAGGCGTACCAAATATTTTTCTATATAAGATTAAAAAATTAACTTCTTCAAATTAATCACTGGCGCTTCAAATCCGAGCGAAATAATAAAAGCCACCAAAAACGACAATAGAAAATTTCCAAAAAATATAACAACCTGAAATAAAACAAACGATAAAAAAACAAAATATCAACCAAAATCTTACCGTTAAATTGTTATGTATTTGAAGAGATCCGTCCAAAGAAAAACTGGTAATACACATCAAAATCGGGTGTACAAGGTAAGCACAATAAGTCAATCGGCTCAACGGTAAAAACAATCTACAGCTAAACAACAAATTAAACGGACCACCGTAACCTGTACAACAAGCCACTGTAATCCAGGCTAACGAGAGACCCCAAGCTGTATGACCCAGTGCCACCTTAAAAATAAAATTCAATCAACACTAGAACAACCAATCCAAAAGTTTCTTACATAAAATGCAGAAACTGGAATCACAAGGCCCTGCTTTCCTAAACCATAAACCAAAGATCCCAAACAAACTATTGACGATATCCAACCTATCGTTACTATTGCCGGAGTGAATATCACTTGCCCATTTATGTTAAAAATAATATACCCTATAACCATGCCTATTAAATAAGGTCCGATTCGCATCCAAGGCTTGTCGTAGAGCTCGTCAAATAGAGCAAAAGGCTCTTGGACTCTGGCCACGTAATTATGCTGGATGGCTAAAATAAACGTTACCATCCAAGAGGATAATAATAATACTATTATTGCTAATACACTGAATTTTAGTTGCTTGGGACCTCTGAAAAAATTAGGCATTATATATCAATATTTGTGAGTATTGTGTCAAACTCTTACTTTACAGCAATCATCAACAAAATGGAAGCAATAGCGAAAAATTGGGTATCGTTGGCAATATACCAGGACCAGAGCATACAAAATTCTCTTTGAGGAAAGAAATTGTTTATGTACAGTATGTTTCTCCACCAAAACTTATCACATGTTATGTGGTCGATTATTGCAGGAGTAAACACAGAATTACTAAAAAAAAAATTTGGAAAATGTTAATGTAAGAAGAAAATTTATTACCTATGGATGTATCTCATTGTCACTTCATTAGCACCCAAAACGAATAAATAAGCAGGAGTTAATCGTAAAAGCCTATAAGAAATCATTATCAAATAACTAAAGATATTGGAAAATATTTTTCTTGTTAAAGTTTCCTTATCAGCCTTTTTGGATTTTGTTGCCTCATGTCTGAAGAATCCTAGAGTTACAAGAAGTCCACTAGAAAAAAATTAAATAAAAATAATTTATTTATAATCACTGATTAGTTACCTTATAAAGAAAAACGTGTCCACAGAAAATGTAGCGTTCGAAATGGTCTGGTACATAAATTTTCTCTCGGTAATGGTCCTTAAAGCTTTATTCCTACCGACTCCAAAAACATTAAGATAGGTGTGAACCAAAATAATCCATCCTATGGAGACTACTCTTAAGCCGTGCAGGCAACCGATAGCATCTTTTGATTCATGGTTAACGGACATGATTTTATTTCCATTGGTTATTGCCGAAAATGATAAGAGGAGAGAGAGGAAAAAATCTAAAAAAAAAATATTGCGAATTTACTTATTCGGTATTGTGTTAGATCTAGCTTACTTTGAGTGGGTTTGCTTGATTCTTTAGTAATGATTCTTTCGGTACTTTTTGAATGATCAATAGAATCATTTTTTATAGCTTCAGCATCTCTGGGAGATGATTTGCTGATTTTCTTCTTCACGACAACTTCAACCACAGAAGCCACAAGTATTAGTAATAAAGTGATCAATGCGGATAAACTGAAACATTGAAATACATAGTAAAGAAGTGCATTTTTTCAAACAACATAAACACTATCAAATAAATAACGAAATAACAGTATTCAAAATTGGAAAGTTATGAAATTTCTCTTGCTTTCTACAAATGAATATACTACATTAATATACATGGATTGGGATGTCTAATGATGTCCTTGGAAACACATTTTAAAGAAACTTCGAAACATGAAACTTTTAGATATCGACGAAAAAGGTGCCTTTCAAAAGTTTTATCCTAAAGACATTTCTCTAATTTGAAAAGTTCGTATTTCTGAACGTACAATTGCCAATTGTTTCGCACATGGACGTAGTTTCAAGGCAACAGTAAGTTCTTTTGAAAAGGTTCCTGATTGGTAGGGTTTTCTATGGCATACAGAAGTTCGCAATTGTGATGTTAGCTAGCAGTCGATATAATTATCTTTATTGTTATTTGTAATTTTGATCTATGAATCTATAATGACCCGGGAAAAATAGACTTGGGACCCAAAGAGACAGAATTATAATAAAGACATTATTTATGGGCGACACGAGTTATTCGTCCTCACATTCTTGTAGCATAACTGTTGACCCCGATAATCCAGGAAATTGCGAAATATTTGGTTTTAAACAAATAATTATATTTCTTAGAAAAGAGGAACGCCAGGTTAATGAATGGACATGACCCCAAATTTTTGGGAGGATCCAAGAATATAAAAACAGCAATTTTAGAAGTTCACAGAGCAGTTCAGTTTCACTGAACCAACCGAACCATATTTTCACGAGGTACCGAGGTACCTAATTTTGAGGGTGAAATTCGATATTTCAAATGGACATTGAATATGATTTGACCAAAATTATCTTATTCAATATAAATTCTTTTCAATAGTCATTAAAGGGCGGAGGCATGTAATGACCCATAATTTACAAGGACTTAAAATACAAATACAGTAAATGGAAATGTAATAAAATAATGTAAATTGAATCAAATAATCTAATGTAAATTAAATCTCGAATATTCAATATTAGAAGAAAAGTTTCAATTTTCTTAATTTAGCACAAATTAATTGAAATATCTAAAATACGTTCAAATTTTAATAGTTAGTCATCAAGCGGTGTGTTATCATATTGAGCTCATAAAAATAATAAAATCAAGGCGAAAGTAATTAAATTAGGTCCCAAAGTGACAGAATTACAATAAAGACATCGTTTGAGTTATTCGTCCTCACATTCTTATACCATAACTGTTAACCCGATAATCCAGGAAACTGCGAAATATTCGGTTTTGAACAAATAATTATATTTCTTAGAAAAGAGGAAAGTCAGGTTAATGAATGGATATGACCCGATATTTTTGGAAAGAACCAAGAATATAACAACAGCGATTTTAGAAGTTCACAGAGTAGTTCAGTCTTCAGATTCAGGTTCAACTTATAGTCTTGAGTCTTAAGTCTACAGTAAGATTACCGAGTCAGTCCGGATAAAATTCGCGAAGAGTTTCGTGAGTTCAACTTATAGTCTTGAGTCTTAAGTCTACAGTAAGATTAATGAGTCAGTCCGGATAAAATTCACGAAGAGTTTCTTTTATTTTGTTGCCTCGGAAAAACGCGCTAAAGCGGATCTTTTGAAAAAAAAGCAAAGAAGTCATGAAGAAAGAACATTAATTCGTTCAACATTATGTACGAGCTCCAAATAATCAAAAGGATTATTTTAGAATAGTTCAGTGACTTAAGGACGGAATGTGAGTACTCTAATGACATGTTTATTTGAGTTTATCAATGTTAAAATGACTAAGAAGTAAGTGAATTAGCAATGGGACTTCGCAAATAATAATATGTTATTAAATTGAGTGAACTTTTGAATATATTTTTTTTCGTTTTGTTCAGTATAAATAGGAAATTTCAATGACTAGAATCTGTGAGCTCTGTCTAATGGAAAGAATTAATGAACATTGAAATGATGATTATAGTTAAATATTTTGAACTCTATCTGATCAAAAGAATTTAAATTGAATGCGTAATATTGATTTGTGATAGTATTGTTATATACATGAATAGTCACTCTGGCTGATGAGTTTAGGATTTTGAAAAAAGCTTTGTACAAATTTGGCAATGAGCAAATTCAGAGGTTTTCATACGCTTATAGAATTGGAAGTTTCATTAATTGTAATGTTTTGACGTGGAAAGGAGTAGGTAATGGTTAAAAATATTGTAACCTAATGTAGTGGGGCTCTATAAAAGAGTTATTATTCAAGTACAAGGCTTTTGCGAGTAACATTTTATTACAAGCTCAGAGATAGTATAGAGGTGGCTTTAAAGCACATACAGTTAGCATCTTTTTTATTATTTTAGAACTGTTTTTTGCGTATTAGGAAAGTGTTGGTTAGGGTATACAATTTTACCATTGTAATTTGGTTGCAACTGTAGCACACCATTTTTCAATTTTTCTGCGTTCTTTGATGCCAATGGTTCTGTCCTTAGCTCGGCCCTGCTTTATTGGTCTAACAGCGATATGCAGTGGCTGTGAAACCAAATCTAACTTACAGCTTGGAGAAACCCAAGAGAAAGGTATGACATCATCGAGGAAACCGGCCGGTTCCAGTGAAATCCATGGAGCCATTCCACTTTGACGGGTAGAAGTTATTAGTGGACCAGTGAAGGACAATATTTTGTCAAATGAAGGTTATCCATTAAAGAAAAATTCTAATAAGGGTCCAGTGAAGGACGAGATTTTGTTGAAGGAAGGTTTTCCGGCGTCTCTGGGAGAGAAGGTTATTATACCGCCGATGATTGATAAAGTGTGCGATGGAATCACTTCAAGGCTCAACACATCAAACAATGTGAGGAAGTTTTAACAATAGCACCAGTTTTGGAGTGGAAGGAGAGTGAACTTCCAGGGAAATTCCGAAGGAATTTTAAGGGTCTATTAGAAAGAAATTCTAATGAAGGTCCAGTGAAGGACATAGAATTCAGAAACCAAGATGGTTTTTTGGTGACTCCGAGAGAGGACGTGATATTACCGCCGATGAGTCAAGTCAAGTAGTGTGTCAAGCAACTCTACGCAGAGCTTCAAGGGTTAAGGCTCAGCATATAGTTATCGAACAATGTGAAGAAGCTTTGTCAGGATTGTGGCACGTGTTTTGTGTAAGAAGGACAGGTGTAGTCCCAGTGAGGTTATTGAATATACCAGAGAAAGAATTAACTCTAAAGAGTAGATCTGTAATCGCAAGAGCATACAAAGCGTAAATTGGGCATGCCAAGAAGGAGAAAGAAACCCTGCAAATAAGGAGTGTTGACCAAAAGGGAGTCAAAGAAATTTTGGAGAAGTTAAATTTAGACAATCTCAAATCGAGTGAAGAACAAAGACTTAAGCAGCTTATTCTTGAGTTCATTGACGTGTTACGTGTTTAAAGCACCAGAAGACAAATAAAGTTGTACAACAGTGGTCGTACATAGAATTATGTGCAGCCAATCATAAAGAGACCTTATAGAGTACCGTACCATCGACAAGAGGTTATGAAGAAAAGATGCGAAAAGCACAATACAAAACGGACCAGGAATGAATTCGGGGATTTAGTTTATGTGAGAAATCCAGTTTTACCAGGGAGGAATTTAGCAACAAAATTCCGTTGTAAGTGGTCAGGACCAAGTCGAGTTACAGAAAAGTTAGAACCGGTTACTTTTAAAATAAAACAATTGCACGGGAGGGGAGAACAAATTGTACATGCTGAAAGACTCAAACCATGTAAAGGGTTGGAGGATAGGATTATAAATCCTACACCAGATCACGGAGAATGTCCACTAACCCATAGGGAAATGATAAGAGATGAGAATGGAGAAAATGTTGATCAAAATAGAGTCAATGATGAAATAAGGGCGCAAGAAGTAGATGAATTTTTTATAATTAATCATTATTATTGTCCATGAAGTTGCGAAATTGCACGAGAAAAATTTTCTTTCGTATAGCTTTTGCCTTTTTGTAAAATAAAAATATAACAAATATTTTTAAGAAATGTGAAATTAGATTGATTTAGGGTAGGAAAAGCTTGCACATAATTAATTTGGACGAACTGATAAATACTCGGATAATAATATTGTCAACTTTCAAAATTGAGAAAATAAACCATAAATCACAGAAGGTTCACCGAACCATATTTTCACGGGGTACCGAGGTACCTAATTTTGAGAGTTAAATTCAATATTTTAAATGGGCATTGACTATGATTTGACCGAAATTATCTTATTCAATATAATTTCGGTTTTAAAGGGCGGAGGACTGTAATGACCCATATTTACAAGGACTTAAATTACAAATACAGTATATTTAAATGTAATCAAATAATGTAAATTGAATCAAATAATCTAATGTAAATTAAATCTCCAATATTCAATATTACAAAAAAGTTCTAATTTTCTTAATTTAGCATCGACACAAATTAATTGAAATATCTAAAATACGTTCAAATTTTAATAGTTAGTTACCAAGCGTGTGTCATCACATTGAACTCATAAATCAAATCCATAAAAATATTAAAATCAAGGCAAAAGTAATTAAATTGGATCTCAAAGTGACAGAATTATAGTAAAGACATTATTTACGGCTGACACGAGTTTGGCATCGTTAGAGTTATTCGTCCTCACATTCTTATACCATATTTGTTGACCCCGATAATCCAGGAAATTGCGAAATATTCGGCTTTAAAAAAATAATTATATTTCTTAGAAAAGAGGAACGTCAGGTTAATGAATGGACATGACCCGAAAATTTTGAGGGGATCGAAGAATATGAAAACAGCGGTTCAGTCTTCAGATCAGTTCAGCTTAGAGTCTTGACTCTTGAGTAAGATTAATGAGTCAGTCCAGATAAAATTCCCGAAGAGTTTCTTTTATTTTGTTGCCTCGGGAAAACGCGCTAAAGCGGATCTTTTGAAAAAAAAAAAGCAAAGAAGTCATGAAGAAAGAACAATAATTCGTTCAACATTATGTGCGAGCTCCAAATAATCAAAA